ATTCTTCCTCAGATCTGTGTCTGTGAAGAGAGTTCTGCTGGTCACTACCCAGGATTGGAATGTGGGTTGTAGTTTATGACTCTTATCTAGAGAGGGACAGAGGAAGGGAGGTTGGTGTGTGTGTTCATGCATGGCACAGACAGGCCACGATTCATACCTTAGTGTTAATCAGTCCTTTTGTTGTTACTTGTCCTATACAAGAAACAATCAAATATCAATAGACAAAGTCTTATTGTTACAAACTGGAGATTTTGCCTATATTCTCCAGTTGTCTGGTGTCCATTGGTTAATCCTCTGGAGCTGACCCTTTGACCTTTGGTCTGGTTCTGTGTCGTTCAGACATGCTAACAGCATGGTCTGTTTGTGGAAGAGGGGTCCTTTGTCTCTGTTTCCTATCAATTTGATAGTTTGATGGTGGGAAGAGTCGCAAAGTGTCAATTGTGGGTCCGTAACTCTGCATGTCCTTACAATGAACTTCCTTAATGGCTTGTGACTGAATGCCAGGCCAGGTATGTACACTACAACTCAGTGACGTGCGGTGAGGTTCATGGCTGGTGAGGCACTGACTTCATCACTAGCGCCCTCTACCATGAGGCAGGAGAACTGCGTGCCTCACCCAGTGCGTCTTCGCAGCCGTTTTATGATTGCTCAGCACAAGAAACACGTTACACACATACAGTTGTTGATAAAATACACTGTACATTATATACCTCAGCTAACTAAACTATGGAAATTTATAATATAATTCATATAGCAAAAGTGTTTGAACATTTTAATAGCGACATACAGAGAGATAGCAATACGGTCTCACTGCACAGCAGGCCAGCAGTTAGCCGAGTCATTGCGCAATCCACGGTGAGGCTCAGCTGGCTGCTGCCTCACCGCAAGTCTCTTCTCAGTATTTGAACAGTAAATGTCAAAATTCAGCGATTTTGAATAAAAATAATCTAAAACTGGTGAAGTTAAATGGAAAATAACTTTACAGTATAATCACTGTATACATATAACAATTTAATTAATTTTTTTTCTTTTTACTTTTTTTTTCTTTCCATGATGACTGCACGTCACTGCTACAACTGGACCAAATGTCCACTGAAGCAACAAAGATAGATAATTCATCATGTATTATTTATTTAAATTTAAGTACATTGGCTACACTCATGTACTGTACTATTGAAGTGGCAGTATGTATTCTGTATGTTGTCTGCAACGAAACTAGTTTACCATCATGGGGATTAATGGTGTTAACTAATGTAATCTTATATTGAGGTTTCATGACTAGACTAAAATACACTGGGCCACACTGGTACCTGTCAGACCCAAAAGCTGTCAGGTGTGCCATAGAAGGCGGGACTTTCAGAAACATCAAAGACTGTACCCTCAGTGTTAAATGTGTCTGTCATTGATGATTTATTTTATTTCCAATTAAGCATTACAGTTTATGTTAAAAGCTAAACAATGTCGTGTGTGTGTGTGTGTGTGTGTGTGTGTGTGTGTGTGTGTGTGTGAGAGAGAGAGAGAGTGTTACTGGTGTTCAGACAGAGTACAAGGCAAATTTTAGAAGCTGTGCAATTACATACAAAGACACAATTGAACACAAATTCACCCGGATGCGAAACTCGTGTGATTTAGCTGTTTTCTACACCAATGTCAAAAATATGGACCAGACTGAAACATACCTTTTCATGACAGTAGCAGTAGCAAATCTCTCTTTTTGTGATGCCAGTCTTTCCTGTGTTGAATGTCTCGACATCTTCACCTTTTACCTTCCTGGTTGAAGAAATATTAGGATTATTTTAGGATGGGAAAAATATATATATATATATATAATATGATATGATAATCTGCTCCAATTATCCAACAATGTTGTGTTATACTACTGTTGACCAATATGACGCTCGTACAACTGAACGTAAAATTGTCCAATGTTACGACCTCAAGTTTGATACGGCTTAAATGACAGACTCCAGTGACAATGCAGAATCCTGTATTTACCTGTCTCGATGTTGTTAATCTTCCTTGCTCATCGTCTGGACTGTAGACGAAGCACAGAGGAGAGGCGGGAACTTGGGTCTTGAGGAGCTGTAAGATTTATTTACTGACAAACAATCGGAAGTGCACATACATTCACTGCTACAAACCCCAGCTGCATTGCTAACTGCTAACTAACTAGCAAACTTCTCTGGTCGCCAGCCTCACCTATCTCTCTCTCTCTCTTTCGCCCGCTACAGACAAACCCACGTACTGCGCTATCCCTGAAAGGCGCTGTAGCACTCTTCTAACAATATTCTGTCTGAAACTTCTCAAACCGAGAACTGCACAGAGATGATAAATCAGCCTAATTTGCATGTTTAACTGCTACTGCTGCCTCTTAACGGATAACGTCCAGTTTCCACGTCTGCGCATGCGTATAATGCTGCAATGTCATAACTGATCTCAGAATGGTGGAAGCTGAGACACAGACAGTTCGACAAGCACACTTTGGCTATAGTTAATCACCCGTCAGATCCGAGGATTATCCTTAATGCGCATGCGCAAACCTTAAATGTTTTTTTATTTTTTTAAAATTAAAGTCATTTATTTCAATGGTTATAAAATGGTTGGTTATATGGATGGTTATAAAATGTCATCACTTTATCCTGTCCGACATTTGAGTTAAATTGTCATAATTAGCAAATGTGAATTTTTGCGTTATGTCCAAAAACATGTTTTGTGTGGCCACAGTGACCTTGGCCTTTGAGTCCACGAGAACATTTGTACCATATATGGAGACATTCCTTCAATCGATCAATATTTGTGGTGAGTTCAGGCAATTAACGTCATAAATATCCAGTTTCGCTCTACAGAGTAAAGTTTGACACAATAATACACATAAAGCAGTGAGTAATTAAACATAAGAGCTCTTTATTTCAATCTCAGAGCAAACTATGTTTCTTGCCACATCATGAATTCTGTCTGAAATTATCCGTGCTACTATTTTCCAACACTCCAAATTCTCTTTCCATTTTGGTCAAGAACCAGTTGACCCTCATTATACATCGTCAGGCGCAATCTAGTAGAGCATTGGTTTGAGTAGGTGCCAGACGCCCACAGAGGTTTATCTTCTTTGTTGTACATAACCAGGTTGTTATCCTGTTGCAGAAGGATTCGAAATGGGTTTTTGCCATAGGTATTTGATGCCCAAATGGGGGACCAGGTATAGATGACAAAGTTGCCATCATCCTGTGAGAAGAAATTATGTACAGATAGAAATTTTTTTAAGGTTTTTTCTTTTCTTTTTTTTCATTCATCAGTTTTAAAATAATACAAAAAAGTAAGTAATTTTAGGCTGCAAAAATCACACAGTCACAATAAAATTCATTAGGAAGGACGTCTCTTGTGTATTTACAGTAAACAGGAAGTTCTTCAATACTATGAAGCACTTGAAATTGGACCATAGACCAAGGTAAGAGTATTTGTTTCTTCACCTGGAAGACAGCTTTGAAGTTGCCATTTTCACTGGTGAGGTACTCCCCCTGACGCAGCTCCTGGTCAGTGCTGATCGAGTTCTTGTTCATGATCCTGGTGACAAAAGGGTTAAAAATGGTTTAGTAACTCAAGTGTTATTCAATTTTCAAAGCAACACAGCAACACTACTGCAAGATGACATTTTTTCCTTTAAGTTCTACATATTTTACTAATCAGTCTCCTTTTACATTGTATTTTTGTTTTATTGACCTTTATTATTCTACATTTGATTTATTTTATACCATGTGTCAATTTAAATCATCAACCTGTCTTTTATGACTTTCATTTCACTTTCTCTTTTATTCTCCCTACATGAAGTGTTTTGGGCTACATTATGTTTATTAAAGGTGATATGCTATACAAATAAAGATATTATTGTTATCATTGTTGTTACTATTATTAATATAATACTATAATAATAATAGTATTTAATAAATGCTGTAACACACAGTGACTGTATTAACGGCGGGAAGAAACACCTGTCACCATCAATGAGTCAAATGAGGAAACCTTTGACACCTGAAACCAGCGCATGGAAGGTTACTTTTGAAATGTAATAGGTACAGATTACTAATTACCCAGTTAAAAATGTAATAAGTAATGTAACTGTTTTGATTATTTCATCACAGTAATGTAACTTATTATATTTAGTTACTTTTCAGTACCATTTATAGTACCAGGTTTTTTTTTACTTAAATAGTATTTTAATTGCAGAACCTTTAGTATTTTTTAATATTGTTGTATTGATATTTTTAATTCACTGAAGGATCTGAAATCTTCTTCCATCACTGGACATGAGATTTCCAAAAGAAATGAATTCTGAACAACTGCAGCTTGTTCATCTGCTTCTCAGACCTGCTACAACTGGTGAGTTTCATCCCTGCTGTCTTGTATTGTTACAGTACATGAATGAATGAATGAATGAATGAATGAATGAATGACTTAATTCATTTATAGACAGATGTGTTGCATCTGTCTGGGAGAACATTTTAACAGTTGGTTTAACTTCTGGTTCATTTAAGGAGATTTGAGATCAGGATTCTGCAGAATAACAAAGTGGACCTGTTATAATTAATGGTAATTACTCATTAATTGGAGGTTCTGATTCTACATTTGACAACAGAATATAAGCAGAGAACAAAACGTGTAGGTTTATTTATGAGGGATGACCGGGTCGAAAAGCGCAGAAAAGTCTGACACGCCTGCGTCATCACCGCTCACAAACCAGTGGGTGACGTCACAGTGGGTTGCCACTTGGGCAGCAGCTACAGTTTAAGAACCGCTTGGAAATGGGAAATTGGAAATTGCGTGGGTCCTTCAGAGACTGTCGTCGCGAAGTTTTCCCTGCAAACCTGCTTTCAATCACGGTGAGTAAATTCACTCATGCAGTAATTTTTATAATGAGAAGTTTGTTTCATTTGTCACAGTCATGATCGTACGACAGATTGTAATACATCCTTAAGTCATTGATGGTAATAGGTGTTTTTCTTCCCGCCGTTAATACAGTCACTCTGTCTGTGTTACAGCAGTTACTGTCTCATATTGCAACTTCAGAATATGTAGGCTATAATATGAAGGGGTTAGCTGACCTCACCTTAAAAATATATTCAACTGTTAATCACTCAATATGATTCGAAGCAGGAACCTGAGGAAATGCAATGTGTTAATGAGCTGATCTGTACGTCTGACATTTTTTTTAAATGCACATCACTGATTGTTAGGGTCTATTCTAAAAATGAAATTTAATATTCTTTATTAATATAATGGACATAATATGTTGGCAAGTACTAACAAGGACACTGTCAGACATTTTTGACCCTGGAAATTAACAATGTGCATCTTTATTGAAGCCGAGACAGGCCATACTGGTAAATATTTTTTTACCCCGTTATCTGAACAAAGCTTGTTATCCCGAGATAATGAGATATCATCAGGGGAAAACGAGAAAATTTTGTCTTATCCCGAAATTAGAAGATAATTGTCCAGTTGTCTCGAGATAACAAAGCTTGTTTTTCTCATTATAATTGAGAAATTAAAGTTGTTAATCAGAGAGCTACGCATTGATCAATGCATCAGAGAATATTTCAATTAAGGGCAGTAATCAGTGTCTTTTCATACGGATTCAGACTAACTTTAATATCCTTCTCAGGCTTATTGGACAGTCAACTGAGCCCTGTGGAAAAAGCATCAGCTGGCGGACGCTTAACTGTTTTTAACCCTTTTGTCACCGGGATCATGAACAAGAACTCGATCAGCACTGACCAGGAGCTGCGTCAGGGGGAGTACCTCACCAGTGAAGATGGCAACTACAAAGCTGTCTTCCAGGTGGGGAAACAAATACTCTAATCTTGGTCTATGGTCCAATTTCAAGTGCTTCATAGTATTAAAGAACTTCCCGTATACTGTAAGAGACGTCCCTCCTAATGAGAGTCCGACACTTATTGTGGCTCATGATGTAAGTGACAGGGACAGATATTTTTCGTGTGATTTTTGCAGCATAAAATTACTTACATTTTTTCGTATTCATTTACAATTGATAAATGTAAAAAACAAACAAAACAAAACAAACAAACCTTAATAAAATTTCTAACTATAGCTAGATAACTTCTTCTCTCACAGGATGACGGCAACTTTGTCATCTATACCTGGTCCCCCATTTGGGCAACAAATACATGTGGCAAAAACCCATTTCGGATCCTTCTGCAACAGGATAACAACCTGGTTATGTTCAACGAAGAAGATAAAACTGTGTGGGCCTCTGGCACCTCCACCAGAATGAACCTGACCGTGACTAATGAAGGTCAGCTGGTTCTTGACCGTAATGGACAAACAGTTTGGAGTGCTGGAAAAAAGTAGATGTGAGATTGAAATAAAGAGCTCTTATGTTTAATAACTCACTGTTTTATGAGTATTATTGTATCAAAATTCACTCTGTAGAGCGAAACTGGATATTTATGATGTTATCTGCGTGAACTCGTCAACAATAATGATTGTTCTCTTGGACTCAAAGGTCAAGGTCACTGTGACCACACAAAACATGTTTTTGGACATAATTTAAGAATTCATATCTGTTAATTATGAAACAATTTAACTCAAATGTCTGACAGGATATAATGATGAAGTGATGTTATTTTATAACCAAATGGTCAAAGGTCAAGTTCATAATGTTCTGTAAAAGTTTTTTACGTTTTAATTTTTTTCATTTGTTTTATGTTAATAAAACTATGTAAATTACCCCAGGAAAGTTACCAAAATACAGTGATCTATAATTAATCTCATATTACAGTTAAATTACATATTTTTGTTTGTATTTATTCACATGTGTATTTCATAATTTATTCTTTGTTTTTTTTAAATTTCAAACACTTTGTGTTTCCAGAGTGTACTTGTGGTGGTCTGTACATTTCATCATTGTTGCCTCGTCTCCGTCTCTTTATTATCTCTTTCTCTTTCTTTATAGTATTTTGGAGGTTCTTTTTTTTTTTTTTTTAAAGAGCTGATCAATAAAGTTTGCTTGCATGTAATATTGCTAATAGAAAAAAATCGAAAAGCTGGGTTTCAGCCACTGGAAGCTGTCAGAGCCTCAGGAACTGAATTTTGACTTGATTCTGTCTAAACAATATACACATAACATGCTTCAGAAAAAGCTGGGACATGCATTTAATTATTTACATATATTACATACATATATATTACATTTTTATAAATACTATGTACAATAATCAATCCCTCCGCCTTTCCTTTTTATGTTTTCTTGCTCTTTTTGATTTTTTGACTTGTCAGACAGTTTCAAATATTATTTAGATTCAAAGGAACCAGAGCAATGAATTGTGGATATTCATAGGTCATTAAAAACAATTGTAAAAAACTGCCATAAAATTAAAAAAAAGAAGAAGAAATAAAATAGAAGAATGGTTCAAAAAGAAGCATGAAAGGAACGAACCGAAATGTTAACATTATAAGAAAAAAAGAAGTTTAGATGTAAATGTAAACGCATAGCGCACTGGTGATTCAGAGAACTGTGTGTAGTCATTTGTCCCGTGCTGATGAATTCCATATGAACTGTCATCTGACCATATCCAACATTTTTTTTTGTTAACAGGGAGCAAACGAAGGACATTAATTTTTTTTTTTTTTTTTTTAATTTACAATTGCATGCAACTTGTTTTGGCATTGTCAAGATAAAATAATACGTCCCAAAGAGCTGTCCTATTCCTCTTTACACCATTTGAGCGCCCCCAGCCTCTCACACTCAATCACTTACCAGGTGACGTCAATTAAGTCTGCGAGTGTTCAGGGCTCAAGCCTCAGGGGGGACATTGGGATCGGTCCAGTGTCCAGATGGAGCCACCTAGTGGAAAGGTAAGAACATGTGACAATGACCAGGTTAGGTAACCAATAAAGTTTTCACACACATATAGGTCAAGACTATAGCTTTGCCTTATTTGGGTAAAGTACAAAAATGTGTCAAAACCATATGTGACACATAGGAATACATTGACCCCGAGTATCTTTTTAAGTTGAAATATAATGTGATATAATGTAAAACTTTCACAATATTGAGATGTGACCACAACCCTGACATCGTGAAGGTCATCCCCCTTTCAACAACAACACAAAGCAGTGGATAAATAAAGATTATGTTTCCCATCAAACCCAGTCATACAGGGATAAAAATCCCCAAACTACACAATATTGACAGCAAAAATATTAATATATATTAAAATATTAAAACTTATCTGTTGTCAACAGCCAACATGAGGTTTAGAGATGTGATTTTGATCCTTCAGGAACCTTAAGGAAAAATATTCTTTCTCCAAAAATAGATCACATACTCCTGAATCCAACAGTTTTTAAAGGAACAGCCAGAGACAGGATGAGAGGCAGTAGTCATGTCCATTTACTGTCATTGCATACACTTTGATACAAACAGGGAAATGAAAACAACACAAAACTGAGCATGAACAGAGGAAAAAAAAAAAACAAACAGCAAAATTGTCTTTCCTTTACCCGAGTTATTATACAGACAAAAACGCTTCTGAATCAAATAAGCAGCTGCACTCTTCTTTAAACATTAGATACAGTTATTAGCTTTATACATCCAGCTCCACTGTTACTTAGGTTGGCACATTGAGACACAAACAGCAAAAAAAATAAAAAAATAAAATAACATAATGATGAATCTAAATGAAGTCCTGCTTTGCTCAAATCACAATCACAGATGTCAAACAAAGGAAACTAAGACTAGAAATCTTTCAAGCCCCAAATCAGCTCAGAGTCCAGATGTTTAGCCGGCTCCAACTGAATTTTCATGTCGTGAACAGTGCGTTGGTTCAGCCTCTCAGCACAGGCAGAATCTTGAAGTCAGAGATACAGATTTTTGTTTGGAAAAATCATCATTTTTATCCAAAGAGTTGGAATATAAGAGCAAAACAAGACATTTGCTCCATTTAAGGATAAGTCTGGTGATATTCTACAATATCAGATGTGGATTGAAGGTGTTGTCCAGTCACTTAGTATTCTTCTGTACAGTTGTTGCACTTGCGAGAGACAAACTGAAAACGATCAGAGGCTGTAGCAGAGGCCAAGATATCCTGAGAGTTAGTTTTTAAAATGGGTCAAAAGTGCCTGATCCTACACTTCCCATGATGCAACAAGTCGAGACTTTCATCAGACGCTGCCTGGTAAATACCTACGTCTTTACCTCTTTCAAACTCAGTGTCCACAGTTTGCAGTGGTGGAGGAAGAATTTACATCATTTACTTACATACAAAGTGGCAAAACCAGACTATGAAAAATACTATTTCACTCAAAATTTTACTTAAGTGAATGCACAGGAGTACTACAAGCAGAAAAGTATCAAAAGTAGAAGTACTCATTCTCATTATTGTGATATTATTTTTCCGGATCATTATTACAAATCTATTAATATACGGGCAGCACTCGATTGTGAAGATGGTCCAGCTAATTTGAATTATTTCATATACAGTTTGGTGCTTTAATCTATAATAACGTGCGACGTATTTCAAACACTAGTCACGTGTTTTGCCTGTAAAATTTTAATCTGAAAAATAATCAACAAGGGGGTCCAAAAGTCTGATGGGAAAAGTTGTCTCAGACTTCTAGAGAGATTATCTTAACACAGAAATACTCTACTAAAGTACTAGTACTCCGAAAAAACAGTACTTGAGTAAATGCACAAAGCATTTTTTCTGATATAAATTTGTTGACACCAAGCCTGAGCCAAGACACCCGAGTAAAATCGAAGCTCTGCCAGACCCACAGAAGACATTTTTAGGGCTGCAACTAATTATTATTGTCATCATCAATTAATCAACAGGTTATTATTGATAAATTGATCCAAAAACTGTCAAAAAAAAATTTCCCTGAGCTTAATGTGACATCTTCAAATTTCTTGTTTTGTTCAACCAAAAGGCCAAAAAAGTGAAAAATGAACCGAAACTTTTAATCAGTTATTGAGTTGATTGATTATAATCATTTCAGCTCTTCACATTACACAACTGCATTTAGTAAACTAAAAATCAATGAAAATAGTCCCCAACAAAGTCACAATTTCCTCCTGTTTGTTTGAAAACTACAGTGAGCAGCTGGTTGGAGTAAGGAGATGAACTGAAAGATTGTTGGTTGTTTTTTTTACATAAAATATTTTGAGAGACGATAATAAGAAAATGATGATAACACCAGTTTTATCCTTAAAGATGATTCAAAATTCTTCAGTGAAGAGGAGCTTTACCAACGATGTCTTATTCCTTACTGAGCTTTATCTTTGATTTAAAGGACTCAACATTTATTATTTTCACGATAGTGCTCATATCATGATACAGACTTCCCTTTCAGTGTTTATTCTGGCTTAGAAACAGTTTTTTCGGAGTTAATGGGAAATACACAATCACATTATTTTCCTTTTTTAACATCAGACCTGCAGTCGGTTTGGAGCTTTTGCGTCTGGAGCTGAGCGCTTGGTGTCCGGGCCACATGAAGCTGAACACACTTTCCCTGTTTTCACCAGGCGGACAAGAAACAAGAAGAGCCTGCAACTAAAAGAAGAAAAAAGGAAAGGAACATACAAGCGCGCAGCCACACAAACAGAAATACTCAACAAAACCTACGTCAAAAGCGAAAAAAAAAACAAAAAAAACAAAAACAAATCAAATCTACACACCTTTTAAAAAAATTACAATCGAAATTAAAACTAGTAGAAATGTTGAGCGTTCTCAAATTTAGCTAATCATCAGTGTACATAACAGTACTATGGCATCGAGCGAGGGGAGGTGACGTTTTATTAACTACAGGTAGCACTTCACATGAGCCTTATTCCAGTGTAGAAACCCGTCCTTTAACCACAGGGAAACCACTGAACTGTACAGGTACTGCATCTATACTTTTACTGAGCACTTACATGTTAGATATTGCTGTGTATAATTGGCTAAAACACTAGGATAAAAACCAGATGAAGTGTTACCCAGTTCCACCTCTTCCACAGCAGGACGGTCTTATCCAAAAACAAACCTCTAGCTTCCCGCTCTCTCTCACACACACGCGCACGCACGCGCACGCACGCACGCACGCACGCACGCACACACACACACACACACACACACACACACACACACACACACACACACACACACACACACACACACACACACACACAGGCATTGTTTTATTAACAGCAGCAACTATGTCGACTTCTGGAGAACATTTATTCCTGCAGACTGATGTCCTTATTGACCCAGAGATGTAAAACTAACCAGACAGATTGTTGTGTCGCTTCCTGCTGCAGATTTTTCTTTCAGTATAAAAGCAGTGACGTCACTTTAAATACAGGATTCAGATCCTCATCGGGAGGCTAGAGGTTGTTTGCTGGACAAGACCAAGTTTGTGGAATTTCTCCTCCTCCTCTTCTTCTTCTTCTTCTTCTTCCCTGGTCGGGTTTGTGGCCGCCGGTGTGCGGCTGCGGCCGGAGCCTCCCTGCGGGGATCCTGGAGGCCGTCACACACTTGTGCAGCATCTGTTGTGGAAGAGCTGCTCCACGACCGTGGAGTCGGCCAGCGTGGAGATGTCGCCCAGGTCCCGTTCGTCACAGGCGATTTTGCGGAGCACCCGTCGCATGATCTTACCTGCAGAGAGAGAGAGAGAGAGACAGTGGAGGTCGGAGGAGATGAGGAAAACATGGGAGTGATAAAAAAACAAAAACAAACAAACAAAAAAAAAAAAAATCAAGGAAGGAAGAGAGTGAAAGCTAATTTTAAGAGTTTTAAGGAGCCACTTACCATCGTGTTTTCTCCTGTCTTCCTTCCCCACAAGTTAACAAAAAGCATTCAAAGAGGCTGCTTTGTCATGAAGGTCGATTACCCTACATGGCACGCCACTGCCGTATTTGTCATAACAGCAACGACAGCGTTTTGAAAGTGGAGCATATCAAGCTTGTGGAGCGTCCCATCAGAGGAGGTGATCGTCTCAATAAATTACTTCAGAGAGAAACTTGTTGGATTTTTAAATTTGATGCTTTGGTGTATCCAGGTCTTAATGAGGAAATCGATTTCAGACCTTTCTTGTAAAATGGCTTATACTTATTATAGGGGTTTTTTTTACCCTTTTTTGTTACATATCTTACTCTGATATGCCCTCATACAATAAAGGCATTTTAACTATTCCCTTGTCTCTATGTGCCTCAAGTCCGCCCAGCAGCTTCCTTTTGTTTATAGCAACCATTTCAACTTCAAGAGCATTTGCATTTACATGGATATTTACTACAGCAAAACCAAGAGCACATTGTATTTCCCTTTCTAGTTTTTGTGAAGAATTTTTGTAACTTGGGTGAACTGACCCTTTAAAAACAAAAATGAAACTAGGATTAATTGCAACTTTAATAACCTTTGTCAGTGCTGTGAGTCAGGCAGGTTTGTCTTGTTTTTCTCTGTCAATCTAATCTTGTTCTCCTGACAGACTCACCTGACAAGTAAAATGAAAACCTGCATTTATTCTGCCTCCTCCATCAAACATTTGAATTTTCTGTAAATTTACCGGATCGGGTTTTGGGGAGTCCTGGAGCGTTCTGGATGAAGTCCGGTGTAGCGATGGCCCCGATCTTCTCCCTTACTGTTAACACCAAAAACAAACCATATGAGACTCTGACCTCCACCACACAGTGTCACTGTAAACCAGGTTTCAATACACACATTATGCATCTCAGACACAACAACAAACACATCAGCGAAAACTGTTTGAAACATTTTTCTTTTCATATTTGAATAATATCTTTTACATCTGTGCAGTGGGATTAAGGTTTGGTTAGATTGTTTAAATCTGGTATCGGGGGTTGAGCAGATACTTGTAGTGTCCCATGATGATCTAAAAGCCCGTTCTGAAACTTCTTCCTCTTTGACGAGAATTCAATTCTCAGGTGACGCTGGATAAGACACTAAGAGCTGCGTTTACCCACCTTGTTTTTTGAGCTCGGCCTCCAGCGTGCGGTTGTACGTCACTCCATCGGTGAGGGTTACGAAGCAGTAGAGGCTTTCTCCTTTGACGGGATGTGGTCTTCCCACCACAGCAGCCTCGGCGACAGCCTCATGCTCAGCCAGAGCCGACTCCACCTCCGCTGTACTCAGCAAGTGACCTGGAGGGAAGAGAGAGCGAGAAGAACAGATGCTTACATGTCATTGTGGAGAATGTTTCCCCACATTATAGAGATTCATTTTATTTTGATCGACTACCGACAGTCATCTGCTGAATTCAAAACTAAAAACTCTGTGTCCTGGTACAGCGGCTGAGCACAGCTGAGCAGTCTTACCCGAGACATTCAGCATGTCGTCTATCCTCCCTGTGATCCAGTAGTAGCCGTCCTTGTCTCTGCGGCAACCTGGATGATAAAAACCTCATCAAGATTCAAAAGTATTTTCAACAAGAAGACACTGCCATGACACCCAACGGCCACCAGGGAACAGAGCGGGTAAGCCAGTGAAAGAACACAAAGTGATTGAGATGCAAGTCGGTTTTTAGATGCATGAAGTTTTTTTCGTTAAAAAAAAAAAAAAAAAACTACTTCTAAACCACAGACAAGTCCACCTCCACACATGATGCTTACCATCGCCCATAAAGAACCTTAAATACTACTCACATCTCTCTTGCTGAGTCGTATAAATACTCAGGACTTTATACTGTCATTTCAGATTTATATTCAACATTTGACTCAAACAGTAAAAATCAAACATACAGTAGCTCCTGTGTAGAATTAAAGACTGTCTGTCCCTTTAAAACCAAAAACACTTGTTCAGTCAGCTTTAACTTGATAACGGAGACATTCTGTACCGTCCTGACTTCAGCAGCTAAATCCTGTACCTTATACTTTATCACTAACTCATCAGTCACTCATCATCTGTACAGGAAGGCTGGATGAATTTCCCTACCGACATCATTTCATGATGTTCAGTTGTGAAGTTCTACAGTTAAAGCTTCCAGACTCTCATGTGACAGTAAACCTCTCTTCTGAGCCAATCAGAAGAGAGGAGGCTCTGAGCATGACTTCAGGTAAACACTCGGCGTGGCTAAGAGCACTGACCGATTTGTTGTGACAACATAAAGTTACAGAAGTTCTGACGGCTCGTTTTCAGGCTCAGTTTCTGAATAGAGGCTGTGAGCATTTCTCTGTGGACTGAGCTCTTTGATACTTTCACAGTATTAATATAGAACCAAGACCTGCTTTATAATCAAAGTACACATGAACACCTACTTTCATACTATATGGGACCTTTAAATAATAAACAATGTGAATTAACATCTGTCCTCATCAGTGTGCAGTATCTCTGTGTTACTAGATTCTGAAACGTCCTGTCCTCCGCTCTCACCGTCTCCTGTGACGTAGTATCCAGGGAACTTCTTGAAGTAGGTGGTTTCGAACCTCTGGTGGTTTCCGTACACGGTTCTCATCACACCGGGCCACGGCTGTTTAAACACCTGTTTGAGGACAGAGGCAGAGACACAAGGACCAGGTCAAGCCGGAGACACGACACAACTGTGAAGATGCACAGCGAGGTGTTTGGGTTAAAACACAAGTCGCGATAAACGGTGATCCTGACCAGGTATCCTTCACTCGGCCCCTCCAGCTCCTCTCCGGACTCGTTGAGGATGGCCGGCACCACTCCAAAGAACGGGAACGTCTGGAGGACAGAGATAATTATTTCTTTATTAAAACACTGAGATTAGGTTTCCAACAGAGTCTCATGGAGGGAAATTTCCTGAGGATATTCAACTGTTTGTAAACCTCTAGCACGTTAAGGAACATTGTGTTTTTAGTTGGTTTTCTTCATAATTATTTATTATGGTTTGTGTATTTCTTTCATTTTTAATGTTTAGATTATTCATCGGTTGAATTACAAACTCTCTTGGAATCATTTACATCAGTGGTACTTTGTCTATTTTAAATTGTTCTTGTTTATACGGTTTATTATGTTGTGTGTTTTCATCTGTTCTGTTTCACCATTAGCTAAAAACATTTGTGGTAATTGTAATAAAGTTAAATCAACTCAACGTGCTGCTGCTGCTGTTGTGTAAGAATTAAAATCAAATCAAAAGTCAAAAGAACATTTAAAGCCACTAAAAAAATCTTTCAACGTTTTCTTTCACTACTAAAGTATAAATTACAATCATAGCAAGAAAAAAACAGGGCACCTTTAAAACTTTATTACTTCTAGATAACCTTAAATTTTGCTCCACTTGTACATAAAGTAAATAAATATCATGTGTGTTTTGTTATTTACTCACAGCAGATCCAGGTTTCATGGGCGTGGCTGCAGGTAGAGGAGTTAACACATGTCCACCCTGAAAGACACACGGTGTGAGTACACTGTCTCTCCACCAGGGGGAATCACAGCCCACAGTCTGTAATCACTGCCTCTGAGTGATGGAGTTAAAAAACGGCCACTGGAGGATAAACGTTATTCAATTTCATCAAAAGATTAACTCTTATCTTATAAGAATTCACAGACATCAGTGTTAAGACCACAGGAAGCTCCTCAGTGGACTGTGTAATAATTATAACTCACAGTCTCTGTCTGCCAGAAGGTGTCGACAATGGGACACCTCCTCTCTCCCACCACGGTGTAGTACCACTGCCAGGCCTCGGGGTTGATGGGCTCCCCCACCGTCCCCAAAACCTTCAGAGACTCTCGCTTGTACCTGCAGACAGAGACAGAGCGACAGGCAGGTGAGGGGAGGGGGGAGGATAAAATTAAGTTTGTGAGTAAAAGTGTCTCCCTGTTCTGCTGGATGAATGCTACATGTTTATTTCTGCAGAAAGACAGTTTCCATCCAAGTATTTCTACTTTAGTCGGAAGGTCCTGATGTAGAGAAGAGCACTGAAGGTGGCAAATAACAATATACCCTGAATACTACAACAGTGTTTTTACATTAGTCTGAGCCGGAAAATAATTTTTATTATTAGAGGAGTGAATAAAAGAAATCAATAACATTTTAAATGCTGCTGATTAAATGACAAAAAAGGGTTAAAGTCCCAGGTATGAGTCTGTGTTGTGATTCCATATCTTATATATCTTATCTCAGAAAACATGAATTATAACTAATATTAGCTGACACCAAAAATAAAGAAAAAACATTTTTAAACACTAATTTATAATTTGTTGGAAACACAAATACGCAAGGACATGAACAGGATCGAGACAAAGAGACAAAGAGACAAAGAGACA